CTCTTCATCTGCATTATTTGTAGGTGCGTAGTGTAGCATAATATGATTGTAACTTTCCTTCCTTTTGAGTTGAATCTTGCTGTCACGATCCTGATCCTGGGGAGGAGATTGGTTCCCACTGCATGAGGGCCTTCGATGCTCCTGGGGACATCACGATAGCCACTTCAAAACTCAGTATGCTGTGCTGTGGTTGTCGTTTGGGTGACAGTATCGGAGTAGATTATTGGCTCTCCAGTTGACAGTCGAGAGGGTCCACTTCCATTCCATCTGCTTTCGCAGATTCCTACCACTTCCATGCCATACCGCCTCATCTCTTTGGCAATCTGGGCAGCCTTGCCAGGTTCAAACATTGTGCGGATATTCAATGTCCTCATTCTCAATTTTGCCTTCAACGATAGAAGATATATCGGCCGATTGGCTTTCAAGAAGGCTTTCAGCAACCGGCATCGTTTTCTCCACCCGATTCCAGCGAGGAATAAGCTTATTTTTATTTTTCCTGTTTTGTTTGTGCTTTGGAGTTTCTTTAGCGATTGGATTGGTTTTACGGGGTAGGGTTGCTAGCCGTATGCCCAACTTTCCCTCTTTACCCGGGCTTAGGACGGGCTGATAACCAGTGGACTATTTCACCAGGTGAGGCCAACTAGCCCCCCTATGCATTGGGAAAAATAGGTTACAGTGGAAAGGAAGGCGCATCCTTGCCATAGAAACCCATGAACAGCTCTGGACAACAGGGATTTTGATGACAGATCAAATTCGGGCATCTTATTTAACTTCGGTGTTTGCCGCAACAGTCTTCTTAAGGATGGAGAACCTTTTGACAAACAGCAATGAGAAGTGTTATGTTTCACGCTAGGGTTGGAGAGCTTAGAATCAAAGCCATGCCGACTCTACATAGGCAGTTACTCACCTAAGGGAGCCCCCCACCGATGAGAGTGACTATGAACTCGGCAGTGGAGGTTGAAAGATTACCGTTGCTGCTGGACACACTGGTCACCAACGGGTCACCCAGCACTAAGGCTGGGCCAGACCGGCTATGGTCAACGAGAATCGTGCTCTGGGAGGCGCCCCACACGCTGAAATTGACAACCATGGTTGCCCATGGCATACCGGAACTAACAGCCAGCAGATCGGTAAAGAATTATTCTCGTGATGTCCAACAATGGTCGTGGCTACCAGTAAGGATAGGATTGAATGGGATACAGGCGGCTGTCCGTAAACCCCAACGCCACTCACATCGCCCAGGTTGATTGCCAATAACTTCGGGTGACAAGTACATCTAACTAAAGTGCCGCAAACTTGGTATGCAGCTAAGGACAATATCAGAGGAAACGTTCACTGCTATACAAGCAGGCCCAGGACACTGCGACAGCGGCAAACGGCAGCCCGCTTAGTGCCGAAGTCACCGTCACTATCAATAGACAAGATATTCAAAACAATCTCTGCTCTACTAAGCCCCCAGAAGCTACCGTAGGAGAAAGAGTGATTTAGCTGGTTCCACTGGAGCTGGCCGTCTTGTGACAAATTTCGCCGTTGCGCGCAGTTTCCTACAGTCTTCCACCACCAAGACACCCCATGTTGTTAGGATCACCTCCAAGTGTCTTTACGGCAATCTGAGGGGACTTGGAAGAAAAATGGAGGGACCCCGATCCCTCTGTTCCCACCTTGCTCCGAGGATCGTAATCCCAAGAAAAACGTGGTTACCACCGGACATTGGTGACATCGAAACAAGTATAGAAAGCATGCACCTGTTTAGGAGGGACAGGGACCTCAAGGAAGAAGGCGGAATGGCAGTGTTTATAAATGATCACTCTAAAAGTGAACGAGCCACTGGAACTCTACTTTTAGGGCTCCCGGGCTCCACCCGGGGCCACTTTACTATTGGACCCGCCAAGTACTTGTTAGGGGGGTCTACAGATCTCCCACCGGCGACGTGGAACATGACCGACAACCGCTCCAAGTGATGCCCGTAGCGGCGTCTATGGGCCTTGGTCAGGTTGTCATAGCCGGAGACTTTAATGCTCCAACTCTCAATCTTGGTAGGACAGAGGAACCTCAAGCCTGGGGTTTGGCCAAAACGTACTCAACTTCGTCAAAAAGGCTGGACTGCATGAGTATTTTGGCGATGATGCCTGCTAGGAGTCGAGCACAAAACCGTCCAAACTGGGCTGCCTTCTTGCAAGCGACCATCCACTAGCAGAAAGCGTTCAGGCTCAAACCCTCCTTGGCAGCAGAGATCATAGTGCTGTAGTGTCCGACCTGGTATTCAATGAACAACTGTCATGAGAGGGATCTCGCCTTGTTTCTGACGTAGCAAGGCAAACTGTGCGGCGATAAACCAGCATCTGTTGACAGCGCCATGGCTTCAGGGGTGGAGTAACTTTTCAACTAATGAACACTGGGAACTAGTCAGAAATATCATCCAGAGGGCTATCTCTGAAAACGTCCCAGCAGTCACAACAATACTGAGGAAACGGTTCTCCTAGCTGAAAAGAGGGGCTGAATGCCTATCTAGAGCAAAGAGATAATGTGGCACAAGTGGGGTATCTGCGGAAAAGAGTCCGACCATACGGTGCATATGGCTACAAGAAATCGGCAAAACATCAAAGTGAGGGGAGGCAGGAGGTCGTTCCAGACAAACCCTTTCGTAGAAGCCTGAGACGGATCTACAAAACCGAATATCTATTCGTAGCAGGCAGAAAATCCGCCAGTCAGGGAGCTTGCATCTTGAAAGGCCCGAACGAAGAAAACCTCTCTGAATTAAAGATCACCAAAACCTTCAGCACGGCCTTCGGCACACAACCGGACGTGTCTGCATCCGACCGAAATCGATAACTACCCGACCGACATTCAGAGCGACTAAGCGCAGCAGAGTTGCGTGAAATAAAGGTAACTCTTACTATGGACCTCGAAAAGCTATCGAAATTCCAACTAGGGAACTCACCGGGATGCGATGACATCCCGCTGGTTGTGTTGAAACAATGCCGCATGTGCCTTGTGCAGACGGTCTGTAATCTGCCTCAATACCGCTTAAGCAGTCTCACTCTTCTACGAGGGTGGAAGCGTGCTGTTCTGTCTCCCATCTTCAAAGGAGGAGACAGTTAGAATCCGGAATGCTACCGATCCGTGGCACTTTTACAAGTGAGGCCGAAAGTAATGGAGAGCGCAGTACATGGCCACGTCAGGGGGCACTGGGAAAAGAGGGGAACACCGGGTGATGCTCAACATAGTTTCAACAGGGGTAGGTCCTACGCCTCGAACATTCTGGCTGTCGGTGATAGAAGGATGGCATGTTGGGACCTCTAAATTCATGTTCATGCTATTTTCATGGATTTTACTAAGGCCGGTGACACAGTCCTGCACACCAATCTCATTTGCAAAACGTCAAGCTTGCAAATCAGGGGTTAAATGCCCCCCTGGTAGACAATTATGCATCAAGGTCAACTGGGTTTCCTCGGCTTTCAGGACATCATCATCTGATGTATCACAAGGAGTGATCCGAGCCGCTGCCATTCTTTCTTATTGTGAACGACCGTCCATTGAATCCCAGCCCCTCAATTCTACTTTACGCCGACAATGTTGAGTCGTGGAGAGCTGTGACATGGGAAGCAGAATCAAGTGCACTGAAAAGTGATTTCAGGTAACTTGCAGAGTGGGTAGATATTAGCGGACTACATTTAATCCGGATAAGTGTCAAACCACCTATCTGACACAAACTGACGACATTTGTCCCGACTCTTGCAAAGTACCCTAATCTCTGTATGGAACTCAAATTTCCCACATCAACAAGGAGGAAGATCTGGGACCAGCACTAACAGACAAGCTGGAAACTAGCTCCAACCATCCCGGAGACACTTTCGAAGCCTACATAGTACTGCATTTTATGCGCAGAAAACTAGGTGCCTTCACTCCGGAACTTCCCCTAAGACTGTACAAGACCCACATGTGACCTCACCTGGATGCTTACAATGGTGAGTGCACCACCATACCTGAGAAGAGATGTGAGCCTCCTGGAGAAAGTGAAGAGGCCAGTAATAAAGGGTATCGTGGGAATGAGGCAAAAACCGTATGAGGATGGGCTGGAAGACCTAGGGCTCCACGCTTTCAGCTACCGCAGATTATGTGTTGACTTGATAACAGCTTATAAAATACTAAGTAATTCAAGTCGCCCGAACAGTGGAATCCTACCGGAAGGCCGCTGTGGCGGTCCTTTTGGTAACAAAAGGAGAATCGCCCACCGAAGAGCGAAATCCCATGTGCGTTCATGCTTCAATTTGCAAGCTTGTGACTACTGAAACCCACTACCTGGAGAGATTACCACTGCTCCATCCGTAAACAGCTTCAGGGAGAGCGACACATGTTTTGCACTCACCCAGCTGGCACGCTGACTAGGTTGACGCAACCTAATAGCTCCGCACACTTCAGCACACCCAACCCATTACTGAATCTTTCGCAACGACACTATCATCACGGACATGATTCAACCTTAAACATCCCTGTGGACGTCTTCAGTTACCAACTCCTACTAGTAGTGTTACTATATTCCGATAACCAATCCTATGGTCTTACTTTCTCCTTCTCCACCGCCTGACCCTATTTTTGCACATCATACGATAAAATTTCTCCCTATCACTTATCTCTCAAGAATTTACCTGAGTTTCTCCTTCCGCTCCGCTTCCTTCCACCCTATCGTCTATTGTTTCTTTTCTTCCTCTCCCTTGGTTCCTGCGGACATTTTGCCGTCTTCTTTTCACAACCATTCGGACCAGCTGTCCGGTGGAACGACACTTAAGGAACCCATATGCATCACAGTCCTTGAAAAAGCCGCACAATCCCTACCAATTTAATCAACACCCAACAGCCCGTCTGGTTAACCAGAGTCACCTCAGGTGAGTCATCGAAATCCACTAAAGACCTGGGACCATTCCACAAGACCTAGGAGTGATCATGAAGAAACTAACTGATTTACACTAGTTTGTGAAAAGATATTGGAGATATTGAATATTGGATAGAAGCATTTATTTCAATTTTCCGTTACTCGTTTAACCAACTGATTGTTTCTTGTCGCAGTTCACGTCCTCTTTAGGAATCGTATTCATTGTAATTTAAGGGAATCCTTCCTTGTTTTCAATCGATATTCATTGCAATGGGCTGTATTTTAAGTTCAGTTGCTTGCTGTTTTTGTAGTTCTGCTGCTAGCTTGTGTTGTGCTTGTTTGCCCAGTTGCAAGTCATCAACTTCTTCACGGTTCATGTTTGCGTTGATACTTGTTGTAACAGTTTTTCTTTCAGTGATTGCATTAATTCCCAGTGTTAGAGATGGTCTGACGAAAATTCCTGCATTGTGCACACCTTTTAAATGGTCTTTATCTAGTAGCGAGGCAAAAGGAATTATTGACTGTGATGCCATAACTGGTTTTGGAGCTGTTTACCGTATATGCTTTACATCGGCCGTATTCTACCTTGTGTTCTGCTTAATCATGATCCGAGTTCATTCGTCTAAGGACTGGAGAGCGAAGTTACAAAATGGGTTTTGGTTTTTCAAGTTTCTTTGTTGGTTTGGTCTGTTAGTCGGTGCATTTTTCATACCTGTTGAAGGGTTCACAAACGCCTGGATGGTTGTTGGGATGATTGGTGGCAGTCTGTACATTTTAGTGCAGCTTATTCTCCTCGTTGATTTCGCTCATTCGTGGAATGAGAACTGGATAGCTCAGTATGAAGAAAGTGACAATAAGTGCTATGCAGCAGGTTTGATCTCTAGCACTTTGTTTTTCGATGGACTATCGATTGCTGGAATAGTTCTTTTGTACGTGTTTTATGCAGGTGCTCCACAGTGTGGATTGAATAAGGCCTTGATCAGTATAAATCTTATTTTTTGCATCTTGGCTTCTATTGTTTCGATTATGCCGAAAATACAAGAACATTTGCCACATTCTGGCCTGCTACAGGTAGGTTGGGTAAACTCTATAGGTTTTCGTACGCTTGTGGAATTCGTGGTTTCCTTAACCTTATTTTCGTTCTTTTTAGTCTTCAGTAATATGAAAAGGTAATTGACCTATTGGTCCTGGCCTGTACAGTTGATACTGAAGAACTATTTTGACCCGGGAGTTTCTGCCACTAACGTTTGGACGACCAGACATTAGTTTTTTTATACTTAGGTGTAGATTATTGCTTGGTATACCAGCCTGCTTTGTTAAGTTATACTACCGTATTGTTTTTAATGCAGTCAGCTGGCAGAAGTTAGGATACTTCACTTGAAAAGTATAAACTAAAAATTGTGCAAAAGCTCACAAGTAGTCTGAACAAACCACTTTAGTGTGACTGCAGCAGTATAACTAAATATAACTTTCTTAAACGCTCGCTGACGTCAGTTGATGTTCCCTTATATTTTGAAAGTGGTTTATGCAGAGTCCTTCAGTATTGTTACTTATCCGTTTTACTGACAACTCGTTTGTGATTCGATAGTACGTTAATTATCGAGCGAAGCAAAGGAAAATTCAAGATATGAAGTGCGAAAATGTGGTGTATGTGTACGTAGTGGATTCAATTATCACTCGAACTATATTAGGTTGTGGTTTTTGAATTCCAATTTTAGTTAGTTTATTAGATTTATCATATAGTGGGACAGTGTTATTTACTAGATTGCGTTGGGGACACCATTTTTTGTCGATAGTCTTCTCCAGATCTTGGTATGACTGCCACAGTGCTCAAGTTTTATGTTGTTTTTTTTGAAAATTATGTGAGTGATGTGCTCTCCTCTTATCACCTCAAACATTATTTATATTTGAAATGAAAAGCACTTGAACTTAATGTTGTCGTATTTGATTTGAAACCAACTTCGGAACTTGCAAAACAACTTATGGGTTCGTTACCACTTTTCATCGTTGCTCATTAAAGGAAAGTCTGACCGTAGGCAGAAAATAACCAGTTATGAAGTGGGATAAGAAGAAGGAAAAAAGTTGTAAAGAGATACAAAATAAACTTACAAGTATTATAAACTGGAAGGAGAGAGTGGATACGTTTCTTTGACTACAACCGCTAAGATTCGCTTCGTTTGTGGTTCCAAGATCCCAATTTCACTTATTTTGTAAACATCAGCTAGAGTTCACAGTAATACATGAATAGTGCCAATAAGACAGAGATAGAAACACAGAGTGACTGACATCTAATGGTTAACAAAAGCCGGTGGATTCCCGCAGTCATTAAGACTGATTGGTACGTTAGTATAGGCTCGTGTATGTCTGCGGCTTACTGACAGCAGAAAACGCATTAGTAAAGCGTGTGCCTCCTCAATTGGAAGATGAGAATGTGAAATATGTATTTGGGGAGGAGATATAGAAGCATTTACCTGAACGTGACAGCAATCTTCATCCTGAGGAAACCTTGGGTGTTCAGTTTGTTGTAAAAACAACGATAAAGACAGTTGGTAGCCTACACTCAAAGATTAGCGAACGTTATTGAAATTCATCAACGTCATCCGAATTGATTGATGCGAGAAGGCTGATTCCAACTGACTGATCACGATGAAGATCGAAAGCAACTCAAACATAAATTGACCAAGAATCTTCGCGTCGATCGCAAGCTGTAGTGGGTGACAAAAGTGAGAAATGGAGAAAGCATCAACCTTGGATAAAACTCAGCAACTATTTGGGCTTATTAAGGATACCAACAAGAAGACGATGTTTGGTGAGACCATCACGGAAAAGTATTGGATTCTGATAACCTGTCAGGAGAGGCAGCTAGATCGTTGGGTGGAACACTTTGGAGCGCAGTTCAGCTGGTCCACAGCAACATTTCAGTGGTCCAGGATCCACCCAGCTCGAATCTGAATGGGACACACTTTGGTCCTCCAATTGTCCTAGAAGTTGAGAAGCCTGTTTCAAACCTGAAACAATGCAAAGCGGCAGGACCTGAAGTTTGCTACTTGAGGTTTTCAAGGATGGCGGTAGGAAATTGTTGATTAAAGTGACGGAGGTACTGCGTAGTGTATGGAAATCAGAGGTAGTCCCGCCAGACTAGTCTATTTCACCGACCATTGTACTGTGTTGAAAAGGCGAGGCCTTCTTGTGATGACCGTATGGGGATCAGTTTGATCAATATCTTGTCCAAGATCCTAGGGTCTATTTTTATGCGATGCCTAACTGGAGCTCGAGAACAGCAAACTGGAAAGAAGCAGGGGGGGGGAGTTCCAAACCTGGACAAGGGTGCGTCTATCAGATCTTCACTTTTTGTTGGATTATGTAGCGGAGACATTCTTAACAGTATTTGTCATACTTCTTTATGTGGAAGTAGCATTCGGCTCTCGACCGAGTGGTGTTTTGACAGCGTCTGATTCTGAAAGGAGTATCGAACAGGTTTGTATCGCTAGCCAAGCTCTGTACGCAAGCTCACACAACCGTGTAAGAGCTTGAGGACAGTTCCATTTTAGTCTGTTTATTAGAAATGTCACACAGTGAAACAATTGTTTACTAGATAATAAATTGTGTCCAAAATGTTATCCAGTAAATAATACTATATCACTGTGAGGCATATCTAATAAACAGACTAAAATGGAATCACAATCGACCCCAGTGCCCAAGTTTTACTCCTATATTAAGGAGAGTTGTCATCTGAATTCACGACAGATAGTAGTGTCCGCCAGAGACCTATACTGTCACCGTTCCTGTCGAATTGCGTTGTCAATATTCTAATGGACGTATCCTTAAGTACGTATGGCTTTATGCGGATTGGTCTATTTCTTTGGAGCGCATGTGATTGACTCGGAGTACGCAGACAATATTGTCCTGCCATCCGAAGACGCTGACAAAATGCAAGGTCTTTTGAACGCCATGAGCAGAAGTCTATGCATGATTAGCATGCGTTTCGCAGGTGTCGTCAAATGTAAGATGATGTTTCAGGTGTTGCTTGCAACTACTCCCAGTTTGAGGATAGTAATTAATTAAAGTGGTGGTATGTTTCGTCCCCTTCACCGATTTGGGGAGTTACAATAACTCGAACAGACTGGTTGCTGATAAAATTTCAGCTAGGATACGTAACCACTCAGCATTGGCTGACCTCCATCATTAATGGCACTGGCTAGCGAGATATCCGACTACCTGTTGAAGGACGAGTATAGTGTACTGCAGTTCCCCTTGTCATGTGATACTGCTGTGACAGCCGTGAAAAGTAGATATGAAGATATTTTCGACCACAGATGTCTTCGTAGCATTGTTTGACTATGATGCAATCACTGTGTGAGCAATGTGGTTAGGCGAAGGGCACTGGGTGGAAAAGGCGTTAGTCGACGATGCTGTAAAACTTCACCGCCTTAGGTATCTTGGACATTCTTTGCGCATGCCAAGTCACTGCTTACCTTGCCATGTAATTCTAGGATAAGTTGGACTTGGTTGAAGAATGTTCAGTGTGATCAAACCAGGATGTGGCATCAGTCTATGAAGTCTGTGACTTTTGATCTGACCCTTGTATAGGAGTGTAGATTAACTGCTTTGGGTCCTCGAGACAATCGATATCAGTGGTTAGAGACTTGCTAAAATGGCTGATGTATGGCAAGCATATTCACTCTTTGACGCCTTCTCAAGCTTGAATGTTTTGGATTTTTAAATTTCATCTCTTCCCATACACTTTTGTCTGCTTTAATATCGTTTTTTCCACATTTATTTTGTTCGTCTGTCTGACGTTCTACCTTAATTTGCTGGTATGACATATGGCAGCATGCAGCGTTATGCAATGTTACCAATTTCCGCGGTAATGCTGATTGACTGACCGTTTTTGACGATGCTATTTATATTCCTTTGTCTTTCTTCTTTTCGCATATCCTTGTGCGCTTGTATGAAGTGTGGTAACCGGGACATTTGCCCAGTAATTGTAGGCCGTATCTCAATATTGGTTGACTTATTGGTTCACTTTGAGAGAAGTGATTATCTGTTTTTGGAAATATGTTCACATTCATCATAAGAATATAATTCTGAAGATCTAAGCTTTTAACATTTGCCTTTGAAAACACTATATATCTTTCCTGCTAGCGCTATTAATCAAGTTAGTTTCTCACTGAGTCCTTTGTTTGTTTGTTTCAAAATTTTGTTGTAATCCATATCCTTTTTGTTTCTGTATATCATAATCGTAACAATGTCTCTTCCAGTCGTCGGTGATTACTGCTTACGTCACTTTCTTGACATGGTCAAGTTTAACAAATGGACAGATTCCAGCATGCAATCCATCTTTGGCTATGACAAATAGTACTGGTGAACATGACGACTCAGTTGTTTTGAAGTTCGATTGGCATATTGCTATTGGTTTATTGGTGCTCATATTTTCGGTTCTGTATTCCACAATTAGATCTAGTACGAATACATCAGCTGGAAAATTTTTCATATCGGTTAGTGTTCAGTTTATTTTATTATAATTTTGTTGCAATGGTTAGTATACAAAACTGTTGACCAACATTTTATGGATGTTTATCGTTGAAGACTTTTTCAAAACATCAACTGGTTCCATTTTAAGGATCACTGAATACTAGAAAGACCTGAACAATCGTTTGATATCATTTAGTGGTCAGCTCACAACCTCTCTGAAGGATTTTCACGTCTTTTAACGATAAAACTACCGCTTACCTTAAATTATATAAGAGTCTGGTTTTATTGTTTTGAGGTATCACATGGGTAAACGTTTTCATCAATTCAGTGTACGTAAATGCAACACTGACCAGTATTCTAATATCAAAAAGCAAAAAAAATGATGCTGATAGCTAAGATTGTTTATATTTTACAATCAAGAGTTATTAGTTATTCGGTGAAAATCCATTTTTTTTTGTGAAATACATACTTGTCGTATTATTTACTGGGTCAAGTGAATAACAGTGATTCCACTGTTTCATATCTAACAAATAAAAATTGTGAAATGATATTTTGCTACACTGCTCAAATTTTACTCTTATCTTCACAATATAATGATAGAGAGAGCTTCAGCTTTCTAGTTGACTGAGCTTCACATACACTAGATTGTTATGCTGGTCTTATTGTTACTACTGATTACTCTGAAGCATTCAAGACTGTAGAATAGACAGTATACATAAGCCTAACCTTTAAAGACATTTGCAGTTGGTAGCAAGATAACACTGCTTAAGACGGAGTTTTATACTTTCGAGGTTTTCATCAAGAAGAAATTATATCACATTTTCGAAACCGAATGCAGTATCTCTAACGTCTGTTGGTACCTTCTGAGTCTTTTGTAGTCGTCTGTCTTAACTAGCTTGTTTAGAGGCTATTCAACGGTGAATATTTGTTAGGATTACTCCAGGAGATCATCTCGTGTACTTCCGTATTTAAGGTGAAATGGATTCACTATTTTTATTCTCATCATAAGCAGTACCGTAAAGACCTAGTAGAATCTTAGTAGCCTGTCTTTAAACCCTATCTAGTTGACACTTGTCCCGTATCAAGTATGGCACACATATGATAGCTCCACACTGTAGGTGTTAGCGGATGTATGTATTGTTTGCTTGTTTATTGAAAATAAAAGCGTTACAAAGTCAGGGCCGAGATGTGCCATAGCAAATAGTATACCAAAATTAGGAGTACATAAAAGTGATGTAGAGGGAAGGAAGTGGTAAAAATTACGGAAGGGGAAACAGATAGGTTATCAAACAAACAGTTTCATGCTTACACTTGCATAAACAATCGATACTTTCGTCTAACTTTTGGATAACTAAAGAAACAGGTAAGCTGCAGCATAATCACCACTGGTTGTGATTCTGATCCATATATGTTATGGTCTCAAGCCGCAAAGTTGCATGATCTCTTGGACCCTATCTAGGGAGTTGTGTGGCACCTACAGATACTTAACACAACTGTCTTTCATCCCACGGTGCTACGTCATGCACTGCCTACTCATCTGCTTCTTTGAACCAGATCTAGTATAAGCGAATGGGGAACGGTTTAGAAACTACTGGGATGACATTTGCAACTTTTGTCCAAGTTTCTGAGGCCGGTTTCTCAAGATGACCTCACTGAATAAATGTTGATCTCCACTGCACCCAAACGAGTGTTGCCTCACCTCAGAATTCTCAGTGTTTCCATTAGAGACGCGGGTGGTCAAACATACAGTTGCAAGAGACCAGGTTTCACAGGCGTAAGGCAGAACTTAACACACTGTATATGCAACCTTTTATGACCAGGTTGATATCAATTTGTGGCCAAAAGTAATGCAGGTTAACGGGTAACACTAGCTTTCGATGTATGATCGAAGGCCACGACCACATCGGAAGCACTGACACAGCTAACCCTGTAGGTAAACTTTTCGACTACTTTTACGGGTTCATCACCAAAAGTTAGTGCAGATACAGGCTCCTGCAGGCTTTATAAAAGCCACTTTTGCATTTATGACGAGAAGTTCATATCACGCTTACGGACACGTTTGCTTTTGTGTAGGATTTCAAATTTGTCTTTTATGAATCTATGACTTACTCTGAGTGGCATTCTTATCTTGGAGCCGGCTTTTTAGGTAGTACTCTATGTAGAGCTGTCTCATTTGTTTAAGATGACTCAACCAATGGGTCATGGATTCAAGCCCTGCTCTACCTACTGGGGCTTGGCAGCCAAGTAGTATCATTAGCCCTCACACACTGGGTATGACGCATTGCCTACTACATGAATGTGCACAAGGTTGGTGATTACGTTTCGATTGCATTCGACTCGATGTGTGGTAAGAGTTAGTGAGGGTGTCAAACATCAGCACTCCTAAAGGATGGTCCTGATTATCATTTGGTAACCCTATTTTTTGTTGTATAATTTTGAACTATAGAACATGAAATGTGCATCAACTGGACCAGTATAACAGAATTATGAATATTAAATGTTAGGGAAAATTGACAAGTACGATTTAAACAATGATAGTGCGAAGCTTCACCTAAATGCATACTCAATCAGACAAGCTTAACAACACTTAAAGTATCATTTGATAATGTAGCAAACTGTTTACTTAGTGTTGTAACAGTTTGAGACTTAGTGACTTTTTGGTCTCATGAAAGTTTACTAGTCTTTAATGAAGTGGATATATCGGTGTAGTTTGCAAAATTAACGCAGTCAATTAGTAACACGTTTGATCTGCGGCTCATTAGTTTACGCATTCAACTTTTATCCAGTGTGTTGCGAATTCTCACCTAGCTTCGCCTATTGGGACTTTGCAAGAACTGGTGCGGAATCATGTTCCTGTCCACTCTAACCAAGCGAAATATTAAGCCGAGTCATCCTGGGGAGACTGAAAAATGCTCTGCATTCAATATTACGACCCGAACAGGCTGGCTGGCTGGCTTCAGGAAGAATAAATCATATGCGGATCAATTTCAACGCTACACTAGGCTACGCATCATCATAGAACAGGGTATAGAATATCAGTCAACTCAACTCAATCTCAACTTCATCGACTTTGAAAACGCCTTCGATAGGGTCAACCGAGAAGTAATTTGGCAGGCAGCTGCTTCAACACTACGGTTTTAGTGCCACAAACCTTTATCAACCTCATTCAACAGCAGCTATATGCTCTATGACGCTACATGTCAAGTGATTGGCAACACAATGGGAAGCTCAGTGATGCCTTTGAAGTGAAAAAAGGATTAGGACAAGTTGTTGCCTACTATCATCGATGATCTTCCTGATTGTGGTCGACTGAACTGGAGTGGAGTGGATCATGCAAGAAGCTGTGAGAAGATGGGTATACACTGTTTGACCGATGAAAAGACCCCAGGAGAAGATTTAGATTACCCCGATGACAATTTGTGTTTGTCTTATGTCGCAGAAACTCGAAAATCTGAGGCGAAAACCAACAAGTTGACAGAAGAGGCAGAGAACTCGGGACTTCAAGTGGACGTAGAGAAGACGGAGGTGGAGGTAATGAAGATGTCCAACCAACAACAACGACAACAAGCACCAATCACCATGATTGGGAGAAAGCTAAAGGAAGTGGTCTCTTTCACCCACCTAGGCACCATCACTTCAATTACAGGTGGCAGCACAGGCACAGATGAGGATATCGAAACCTGGAGCGGAAGAGAGAGACAGACCTTCATTACTCTTAAATAATGAGTGTGGAGATCTACTGCACTCAGCATCAGGAATAAGATCCGTATTTTCAACACTAATTCAGTCTAGTCAGTGCTTCTATGTGATGGTTGAGAGACTTGGGGCGTCACGAAACATTTCCAACAAACTTTAGACATTCATCAACAACTGCCACCCACGCTCGATACTGAGGACCGGATCAGGTGGCTAGAGTAATAAGAATAAGCAACAAGGAACTCTGGCTGGCTGGCAATGAACCAACCAACGAAGAATCTATCACCCAACAAATATGCAGGAGAAAGTGGAGATGGATTGGGCATACACTGAGAAGACCAACAGGGGACATCACGTGCCAGGCCAGGCCCTCGAGTGGAATCCAGAGGGGAAACGACGAGTTGGGCGTCCGAGGTGAGGGTGACATGGAAGAAATGAAAGGTTGTTGGCAGTTGTGGGGCCAGGTTAAGAAAACTACAGAGAAGAGAGTGGAATGGTGACGTGTTACTGAAGCCCTATGTTCCACTAGAAACCTAAGGGACAAATAAATAAAACATTCATCTGTTGGTTGTGGAACATTCGGGTGCTATTATTTATACAGTGCTTGTGAGTTACAATCTCGGACGTAAACGTAAGAGTATTTGTTGGTTGTTAACGCAGTTGAGTTGTCATAGATGTTTTCGCGCAGGCTATTCATCGCGTTGGTGGCAATCAAGTATATCTTACATGTTTTAGGTAGTAAATTAGCAGTCATTTGCAGATTCACGTACTACGTTATAAGTAGCATATTAAGTAAATGAGGTAATCCACTTGGTGAGCGTGTAAGCCTTCATCAACTTGGGTGGCTAGCGAATATGCATACTGATCCGCTATCTACCTCAAAGTGACATCTTATCCGCATTAGGATTCGGTTGAAAATTGAGTGAACAGGCCAAGGTATGACTTTAAAATCAGTTCACATGGTCTCAGATGATCGGTCGAAACCTTAACCTTCTCAATTAATGAGAGAAATAAAATGATGATTGGTGACTCTGGTTGATATGGCTCAAAACCGATTGTAGTGCAGCGAATAATGATGCTTCTGAAATCTCGGTTAGTTGAGCGGGGTTCGAACCCTTGGCGCACTAGTCGGATGTCACTCGCCTAGACCACTGAAATAACTTCACTCTGCAGATATATCACCTAACGGGATTTTAGTAGCCAGGTAGTACCGTTAACCTTTACACACTAGGTTTGGTTTATTGCCTACTGCATAAAAATGCATTTGGTTGTTGAATATATTCTTCTTTTTGGAGTTGGGATACTAAATGGGGTGTCAATTCATCATCCTATGGTTGGTGAGGTTTTGGGTTATGGTTAATAATAATTTTTGGGGACTTGTTTACTCAGTGCAATAATTTAGTGTATATATATCCTTTTCAATGTTGATTTTGCGTATTTATAACTTAATGACCAGTGTTCATGTACTGAGGTAAATGGGAGTGCATGGAGTCACTTCATTTCATACCTGCTTATGTTGGTAATCTATCTTGGAGTCTGGTTTATTTATCTGTCTTGGTTATCAGTTAGATAAGATAATTTATGTTGGGTTACGGCTAAGTTGCTTTCGGTAGGTGTCTTTCAACTGTAAGGTCGTATGTCTACGTTCCACTTCACTTCTTTGTGTTTAAAAAATTGTGTGTATTTTTAACATTCAAAGAATAAAGATAACAGCCTAATACTGTGGAGATATGGCTCACTGGTTGAAGAACTCGACTTTCAAGTTATAAACCATTAGTACGAATCCTGCTCTATCCACTTGAGCCTGGGCGACGGGATGGTATCATAATCAATCACATAACAAGCATGATTCATAGCCCGGTACATGAAGTTAGAATAATCTCAGTTATTAGTACACTATAACTTGGATATTCCCATGAATAAAAATAAAATAGTTTTTCATTGGGATATAGAAAATAGTGTAACTCAGCAGTCATTGATAGTTTCTTTGAACTAAGCAATTAGCCTCATATGTGTTGTGTATCCGAGCCGGGGATATTTTCTAGCTGCCAAAGCCTCAGTAGATGGAGCGTAGTTTAAATCCATGACCCCCCCCTACTGGTTGATATCCAGTATCTAATCTACTGTCATATCTTATATTCTCTCGGAAAGTCGGAAATTGAAATCCACTCCGCGATTTTGTGCATATTTGTGCAACAAGCAGTAAGCCACACTTGTATAAGAAATAATGATAATACTTGCTTGTCAAAACCTCGGTAGGTGGAGCGGTACTTGAACTCATAACCTACAACTCTAGCATAACAGTAAGCTTGCTCATGAATTCTACTTGGCTGGTTTTGTACTGCATACCTGTTGAATCAGCACAAAGGATATGAACTTCAAATATCAGTTTTGTCATCTGGTTAGGGTTTATTGTATTTCATTTTTGTTTTTCGAAGAAAATAACCACAATGACATACGATATTAACAAAGATTACGCATAAAAGTGGTATACACTGCCTTCACAATGGTGCTTTTTGTCTGGGTTATTGATTTTTGCAGATATATAGTATTCTCTGAATAGGTGTGTTTATACACACCTTTCCTATTATAATTGGTATGTAAGCAGGTATTGTGAAGGTCAAATTCCTTAGTTTAGGTTGATGATTTTATTTTGGTTTGATGAGTTTTGTTTTATGTCGCCTATTGGCAACTTTTTTAATGTCAATGAAAAAAGTCATTATATTATTATTATTATTATTATTATTATTATTATTATTATTATTATTATTATTATTATTATTATTCGAATAAGCTTCAATGCTCAACGTAACAAATAGATGTTTATGATAGTATTCTAAAGTTTCCAGTGGTCATCCGACTGATGTCAGTTCGCGATGAATCCTACTTTAAGAATAAAAGTCCCCATTAGTCTCAAGGCATATCACTGTATAATGCTCGTTAGTGACGTACTTTGGGGTGGCTATCCCGAAGTTCTGATGAGAAGCCGTGACCTGTGGGGTTTTCAATCAGTCGGAAGTGAAACAGATGCTAACTGAAGACTTTGGATGATAGTTAGGCTATATGGCGAATTGATAGAAGTATGAGACTGTGGACCACTGAACTCCGATCAAGTGGCTGAATGGTTAATGGGTCCGTGGAGCTGTGCTCGTCGAGTGGTGTCCGTCAAGGGTGCCCACTTTCTCCATTCTTATTCAATGTTATCATAGATATTCTTATGGAGGTCTCCCTCTCGTCACCTGACTACACAGAGGTTGACCTAATAGGTGGAGAATTTTCGTTATACCTAGAATACGCAGATGATGTAGTCCTGTTAGGTGAAGACGCTGACAAGATGCAGTCTTCTGGACACTTTGGGTGGGAATTTGAGAATGTTTGGGATGCGTTTCTCACTACCCAAATGCAAATTTTTGCTCCAGGATCGGTCTTCAACGGTGCCATGGCTAACAATACAGAGTGTAATGATTGAGTGTGTCGACCACTTCACTTAGCTGGGAAGTAGGATCAACTCTGGTGGCTCAGTGGCCGGTGAAATCTCTGCACGAATGGAAAAGGATCGACTGGCTTTTGCCAGTTTACGCCACCTATGGCGCCGCCGTAATATGCAATTGTCTATTAAGGGTCGCGTGTACTGCACATCATTCTGGTCTGTTCTACTATATGGCTGTGAAACACGGCCATTGGAGATGGAAGACGTGAGAAGGCTTTAAGTGTTTAATCGCCGTTGTCTTCGTAGTATAAACTGTATTCCGTGATGTCGCCACGTGAGTAATGCAGAAGTCAGGTATGGAGTTTTGGGGAGTAGAGGTAAATCAGTTGACGAGGTTATGAACCTTCATCGATTGAGATGGTTGGGACACGTACTACGTATGTCTAGTCA